AAAAAAAAAAAAAAGAAAAAGAAGTATGCTGTGATTCTTGTGGGCTTTCCTTTATAGGTGATTTGTTTCTTTTCCCTAACAGCCCTTAATATTCTGTTCTTGTGTTCAATTTCTGGAATCTTGACTATTATATGCCTTGGGGAAGACTTTTTTGATCATGGCTAATTGGAGTCCTATATGCCTCACTTATCTGTATGTCAAATTCTTTTTTCTGTTTGGGAAGTTTTCTGCTATTACTTCTGAGAACAGTTTTTTAATGTCATTTGCGCTATCTCCTCCTTTTTCATTGAGTCCGATCAATCTTATGTTATTCTTCTTTGCGTCATCTAGCAGCTGCTGGATTGATTTCTCATGGTTCCTTGCTATTTTTAAGAAATGTCTCTTTTCCTGATTCCATTTGTTTCCTATGCTGGGCGTTCATGGCTTCCATCACATTCCTTCCCACGAAGCTACATACCCAGCCTTTTTTATTTGTGATTTTGAGACAGTGACTTGGTAAGTTACTAAGTTGTTTCAGCTGGGCTCAAATTTGTGATCCTCCTGCCTAAGTCTCCCAGAATGCTGGGATTACAAGCATGTGCCACCACACCTTGCTGGGACTATTTTAGGTTCAGTATTTCCTGTGTCCCCAGTGCAAACTCAAGCATGAAGCAAGCCCCTTCCGGATATTCCTCATAGACAATAAGCATGATGAAGATTCCATAGAAAATGGAGAAACTGAACCACTGGTTTACTGGAAGTCCAGAGGATACTGAGTAGGAGGATCTCTATTCTTGGCCACTGTGTGATAACATCTTCACAAACCTTCAGATTATAGGGAAAAGTATTGTCATCATTGGGGAGGGGATAGATGACCTTAGTCATGATTTGACAAGATTCCTTGAGAATTCTATGATGATTATAATATATTTCTGACTCATTGCAGTGTTGGCAAGAGTTGAGAGGAGTATAACTCTGTGATAAATTATGTTTAATTATTTTAAAAATTAACAAAAACAGTCAATGGACATTTACATTCTAATGTTTGTATTGGCCTCTGCTGTATGCTAAAGTCAATAGACTAGGAGACACAATGTGTGATTGTATTTTTTTCCCTTCTCAAAGATGTTCATATCTAGAGAGACAAGTCTCAACTATAGTGTAAGGGAGAAGAGATAATGTTGTGGCAGTCAAATAGACATGTAACTCCTTGAGGAACACCTGAATTCAGTATTCAAGGATGTGTGAGATTTGGTTTGGCAGAAAAAGCGGGCAGAGGAAAGGGATCCTATGCAGAATTAATCATAGTACCAAGACAGGAGAAGATAGAATGCATCTGAGAAATACTGGAGAGTACCATCTGGCTGGAGGGCTGGAGATGCTGGGAACTGTAGTAACAGATGAATCTGGCAAGATTAGTTACTGTCAAACTCTGGAGTGGTTGAGCTCAGGCCAGGGAAGGAAGGATTATGTAAAGAGCCACAGAAAGACACTGCAGATCTTTGTGTAAGTGAAGCAGCCCTGCTCCTCAGGCTGTAGAGGATGGATCAACAGGTGCCTAGGCATCTGGGTGACAGGTACTCAGACGTGAGGTAGGTTGGTGATGATGGGGATAGAATGGAGGGGGGTATTAAGAGAGGCTCTGGAGTTATGTAGCTGGTTTGGATGTGTGCAGCATGCAATTGCTAAGATAGAAGCCAGGAAGGAGTGAAAGATGCTGTTAAGCTTCTATGATTGTGAACATAAATTAATAGTGATGCCACTTAGTACCAATAAGTTAATACCAATAATATTACCAAACATCCCCAGACTTCCCATGACAAAGTTACATCTAAGGACATTGCTAAGGTTTGATATGTATTATTTTGTTTTATCTTGACAACCCCATTAGTCAGAGATTATTATTACTATTCTCATTATTAAATGAGAAAAATGAGTAAGAAAAACTGAGGCTCAGATACTGAGTGACTTGCCTAAAGTCACAGAACTATAAAGAGTAGAGCAGGGATTTGAATCCTGTTCTGTCTGCCTCCAGATTCCATGTTTTTAACCAATGCACCATTCTATTCCTGAACCTGGGGAGATTTCTTTCTTTAAGAATGTGATGACAGAGATTATCAGTGAAGAGCAAGAGAGTAAGAACTAGAGACACATAGATGGTAAATGGGCATTGGTGGGTGCTGACTCCATCCAAGTGTGAGGCCAGGCAATGTCTAGTGCCATAAATCCAATGTTCTAAATGAAAGACCCTGCTCCCTTCACTCAGTGGCAACACAAGGATCTAGCCTCCTTCTCTGTTTTTTTCAGAGATTTAGATCAACCTGGGACTCAGAAATACAGTAGCAGGGCATGTGGCATATGAGAGGCTGCAGAGGGCTGGGATGCTACTCAGTCCTGGAGAGCATACTTAGTATGCACAGGGTCCTGGGATCCATCCCCAGCATGGAAATATAAAAACAAAACAAAACAAAACAAATGAAGCCAGGTATGGTAGTGCACTCCTGTTATCCCAGCACTTGGGAGCCTGAGGCGGGAGGATTGCCATGAGTTAGAGGCCAGCCTGGGCTACATAGCAGGACCTTGTCTCAAAAAACAAAAAACAGGGCTGGGGATTTAGCTCAGTGGCACTGTGTCTGCCTCACAAGCGCAAGGTCCTAAGTTCGATCCCCAGTACCCAAAAAAACAAAACAAAAACAAAAATCACACACACAAAACCCAAAACAAATAAAAACAAACCAAGGAGACTCGAGGAGACTTTGGCTGTGTGAAAGAATATTCTCCTTGATTTGAAAACAAAAGAAAGGAAAAAAGAAATTAAACACTATCAGAAAATTGAAAGAAAATCTAGATAAAAGTAATCCACAAAAGTCGTAGATGCAATACTACTCTCAAGTGAGCCACATTTGGAGGGTAGTTAAATGTCCAAATGTGCTTTGGGATTTAGTTTCATGCTAATGGAAAGATGTAAAATTTTAAAATTAAGCTTTGTAGGAAAACACTAGGGTCACGCTAAGTGATAGCCATTTACAATTAGGTTGTAAGTCAGCATTATTAAATAAAAGGTAGTGATCAGTAGATGATATGTTAGCTTTGCTAACAAAATACCCAAGAAAACAACTTAAAGGAGTAAAGGTTTGTTTTGGCTCACAGTTTCAGAGGTTTCAATCCATGGTCCACTGGCTCCATTGCTTTGGGCCCATGGAAAAGACAGGACATCCTGGTGGCAGGGGTATGTGGTAAAAGAGGCTACTCACCTCATGGGGTCCAGGAAATAAAGAGAGAGCCAGAGAAGAAGGGGCCAGGAATAAGATATAGACCTCAAAGACATACCCACAAGGATGCATTCCCTTCAACTGGGTCTCACTTCCTAAATTTCCATCATCTTCCAATAGCCCATCAAGTTATGAATCTCCAGTGGATTAACCCATTGGTGAAATCAGAATCCTCATAATTCAATCATTTCCTAAAATCCCCACCTCTGAATACTGCTGCACTAGGGACCAAGCTTTCAACACCTGAGCTTTTGGGAGACATTCTGGATCCAAACCATAACAAATGGTGATTAATTTATATGGATGATTTATTTAGGCAAATAGCAATAGCCTAATTAATTGGAAAGGTGCTAACAAGCACACAGTAAATGTGACACACACACACACATACATCTTGCACATGGTGTACTTGAGTAAATTTCACATATGGCATGACACCATCCAGCAGGGCCACCTACAAAGCACACATACTTGCAAAACCCTGGAAAAGTGCTAGACACTCCACATCCTCACAAGGTACACCAGAAATTCAATTTCTCAATATAAGGATAAAATCAGATAACAGAGGGAGAGTGAATAATTCCATCTAGTCAGTGTAATTGAGTCTACAGAGCTCATAAATGGAGGTGCCAAAAGAGAATGTTTGGAGGGGTAGAGGAAATGACCACACAGCCCAGACCAAGCAGCAGTGAAGTGAGCTTCCTCCAGGACTCTATTTTCTGGCTTGCTACCTTGAAGCTGAGTGTTGAAGACAGAAGAGCCACAGGGAAGGAATCTGAGATCCTGTATCAGTTTTAAGAGCAGAGCCTCCTGACAACCACCTGTGTTGGACATGAATATGTAAGGGCCATCGACACTCTGAGGTTTGTGTGTGGCAGCAGCTGGTGTCATACAATGTCACCTGGCTTCCATATACATGCTGCCAGATCCTCCTTGTTCTCTGAGATTCTTCATGGCACCCACATGCAATAGTTTCATAATAAGGTGAAAGGTTCAGATGGCCAGAGGGTCTTCCATTCCCAATGAAGAATAAAGACTAGAGAGCCCTAGGGAAGTCTGTGGAGGTCGGGAATCTGAATCTGTACTATTAGAAGAAAAGCACCACCCAACTGCATACCAGTCACAAGTGCATCTTTATTAAGACTCCTTGGAATTTGGGAGAGGGTTCACTGGGACCGAGTACTACCACATGGCACTGGAGCAGCTGCACGGTCCCCCCAAGGCACTGGAAGCCCTGGGCTTGTCCCTCACGGTGCACCACCTGCCAATGCTCAGCCGGGACCACCTGGTGGACATCACCAATGCCCAGTTGAAGATTTCAGTCTCTGCTCCCAAGGTGCGTGGTCATCCAGAGGTGCTCCCTTTCAGAGGTGAAACTTTCAGAAGGCCATCCTGAAGCTCCAGGATGGATGGCAGATTCCCATGTTCATGCATGGCGAGGAGGAGAAATGAGCAGAAGACTGCATCCACTCTCCTGGCAGTTGTGAATTGGTTCTCCGGCCTCCAGTCAGGTGGCTGCTGGAGTGAGGTCGTTCCCATGTTGTGCTGAAGTGACTACCACAGATGCTATTGTGCTTCTTTTAATTCAGCCAGAGAGAAACTTACAGTAAAGGTTGATATTTCTTTAAAAGTGCTCCTTATTAAAAAAAGCAAAGCACAAGATAAAATAAGCCAGTATTAATAATAAAATGTTTGTTGATTTCTGCTAAAAAAAATGACTAGGGAGCCCTGGAATTTCATTCTGGGAGTTTGTAAGTCCATAATGCTTTCTTTTGACCAGAGCCTCATCTTTACCATGCTTTTGTGTGGCGTGTAACAGCAGGTGAAGGGCTAAGCAAGTGAATCAGTCAGCTTTCTGTTACTGTAACAAATACCTGAGATAATTAACTTGTTAGAAAAAAGTTTTATTTGGGCTCAGTTTTGGAAGTTTCTGTCCGTGATTGGTTGGCTCTGCTGTTTTTTGACCTGTGGGTGGCATAGCATAGTGGGAATGTGTGGTTGAGGAAAACCATTCTCCTCGACTGAGTGTGAGAGAAAGAGGGAGGGCCTGGATGCCACAATCACACCAACCCCACGCCCTCAGTGACCTGAAGACTGTCCATTAAGCCCCACCTCTTAAAGTCTCACCCAACTTCCCAAAAGTACCATGCTGGGGACTAAATCTTTAATACATGGGACTTGGGGGGATACTCCAGGTCCAAATTCTAACAGTAGTTGTGTGCGCTTAGCTTCTTATGTATTTGCTATGCCTTCTGTCACCTTCAGAGGAAGTGCCCAAGAGCTTCCTGGATCCTCTTCTGGTAAGATACCCCAGGAGGTCTTCCATTCAGGCTTCTGCTACACTTGCTACTGCCACACTGCCACATGGTTACTGCTGGGTTGTGTACTTATGGGCATTTCTAGATTACCAACAGGATGTATGAATTCTTTCTAATAAGAGATAGGGAGGAAAAAAGGCTGACCTAAAACTGACAGCACATTAAGATGTAATTATGTTCTCATTTTCTATGATTTGAGTAACTCCAAATATTTTTGAGAAATTGGAGGAAATTTACCTTAGCTTAAACTTACCAGTCTTTTAACTCAAAAAAATGATTTTTTCAAGAATTTTGCAATCCTGAGTTTTAAAAAAAGCAAGAAAACATTATTGTTTAAAATTTCTTGAAAAAAATTAAGGATATATTAATCAGCTTTCCCATTCCTGGGGAAAAAATACCCAAGAACCACAATTTAAAAAGGAGAGGTTTATTTTGGCTCATAGTTTCAGTGGATGCAGTTCATGGCTGGATGGCTCCAAGGTGGAAATAGCATGTCAAAACAGTATGGCAGAGGAAAGCAGTTTATCCCATGCTGGTCAGGAAACAGAGAGAGAAAATAGGAGCTAGGGATGAGAATACCCTTCCAATCATATCCCCAGTGCACTGCCCCTTCTGACCAGGACCCATCTTCACATGTGACTTTTGGGGAACGTTTAGATTTAAATCATAACAAGTGCTGTGAAGAATTTTCAAAAGCCCATTTATTGATATGCCCTTTGTGTATTTCTTACAAGTCATATTTACCCATTCTTTAAACAGCAGTTTGACCCAGGAATATTGCTGGATGTAAGTGGCCCAGGTCTGAGAAGTGTAAGTACCAGAGAGTAAAGACAAACAAATAACCCTAAATAAATGAAAGTCTACCTTTTATTTGAACATCTCAGCTTCTTTCCCTCCTGCTTCAGAGTCTTTGGACTCACAGTAGAAATACTGTCTTGCTGTTTTAAACAGGAAATTTATGGGAAGGCTCTTTGGAACTTTGTGAGTCTGAAGGTTCTGTTTGAAAGAGGGCAGGAAGCACAGACCTCCATATTGGAAGAGGCCCGGCCAGGGCTGGGACCTCAGCGACAGGCTGGATAGCTCTGCCTTGCTGGGCTGTTTGTTGGGGCCTGGAGTCTCACTCTTGAGCCAAGCCCAAGTCTCCTCTCCCTTGCCTGTGCTGTGGTTGGTCCCCTAAGGTGGAGACTCTTTCATTTTTTTCCTTTTTCTGGATAGTGCAACAACAGCAAGGCACTATTCCAAAGATGGATTAGGAACCTCCAAGCCAAAACCAAGCAAACAGTTCACAGATGTTGTGAGATTTGTGTAAAGACATTTTAAATCTTTGTGTGGAAAAATCATTTACTAAGCTGCTTTGTTGAGCTGTAACTCACATATCATGCCACTCACCCTTTCTAAGTGTGCAGTTGATTGAGTTTTAGAGAAGCTGTGCAACCACCACCACATTCTAATTTTAGAATAAACTATCTTTTTTCAAAATGAAAGATAAAGGATTCCTCATTGCACAGCCTTGGATAGGTTGAGTGACGCCTCTGACCATGATTTCCTCTCACCTAATTTTCTGTCCTTGAAGGCTCAGGAGCACAATGTCTCCCAGAAGATGGGGGGTTTTTACAGATAGCTCCAATTCGGTGTGGTGAGGTAGCCAGCAGGTAAGTTCATGCCCTTGGTTCTCTAACAGCCATGTTCTTAATGAAAGAGAAGGGCTAGAAAGTATGGAGAGCTTTGCGTCTCCTCCATCAGCAGTCAGCAGTGGAGTGTGGATCCCCTTTTGATATCTTTGCCTTGCCTTTACTTCCTAAAGGAGCCAATTAGAAACACTCAATTGCAATAGGACACACATGTGTAAATACCGAATAGTTTCTCTAGTGTGAGAAACTGAGAGTGTAAATAAGGATGAAAATGATTAAAATGAATAATTGATAATTTGAAATAGGAAAAGGTCCAAAGGTGTAGGGGTGGGGGAAGGTGAAGGGGAAAGGGAAGAAGGGAAAGGAAAAATTATGAGAAAGAAAAAAAAATGGAAGCAAAATCTATGTAAATAGGGAAGGGTGGAGGGGGTGAAGGGTGCATAGGTAATGGGGGAAACATAAGAACCAAGATACATCATGTTCAGGTACAAGCACCCAATGATAAATGTAAACGTATTGTATACCTAAAATGTGCCAATAAATATATAAATTAAAAAAAAAAGAAAAGAAACACTCAATTGCTGTCCCAGTCTGGCCTGTAGTGAGCAGATCACTCCCCAGATAGAGCAGGATGAATCCTGCTTCCCAAAGCACCGATGGGGCCATCAGCCAGAGCTCCATTCTAGGGTTTTCTGTTTATGGGTCTCCTCCAGATCACTGCAGTGCATCCTAGAGCCCAAAACCTGTGTGTGTGTGTGGGGGGGGTCATATTCTTTCTGAAAAGAATTTCTCAACCCACTCCTACCTCACCCTCACTGTCCTCAAGTTTACATGTCCTGAAAAGAGTACAGAGAGATTTAGCCTTTTTATCATACAGATCATATCCTTTATAGTTTTTTTTTTAAGTCTGGTAAAATATAGACACTCTTAACATTTTAAAGCATGCCATTGTGAGCATCAAGGACATTCATACCATTGTGCTGCCAACACCACCCTAGTTCCATCTCTAGAACTTTCTCATTTTCCCAAGTTGAGACCCTGTCCCCTTTCAACACCAACTCACCTTGCTCTTTCTCCCGGTCCCTGGTGGTCCCGGTTTACTTTCTGTCTCTAAGGACTTGACTCTTCTGGGGAGCTCGTGTAAGCAGAATCACACAGCACTTGTCCTTTGGGGCTGGCTTATTTTATCTAGCATACTGACCTCGAGGCTCAACCATATATGGCGAGTGTCAGGCTGAATGGTATCCCATTGTATACGTGGGCCACATACTATTTATCCATCCATCCCTGGGTGTGTATTGGCTCCCACCTTTCCATTACTGGGAATACTGTTTTTGTGACTATGGATGTGCAGATAGTCTTTGGGATCATCATAGTCTTTCATGCCCACTGGAGAGATCAGCATACTCTAGGGTAGCCTTTTCAATGTCTCCATTTTATGGGTTGTAGAGAAAATACAAGGGGTGATTAAAAAATATGGTAAACAATTAAATTTAAATTTTTTATGACAGTAAAAGACATATGGCCATTAATCACCCTCAAAACACTTCTCCTCACTTTGACAAACTTATCTGTTGTTCATGTCACTTTCTGAAGCAGTTCTGGAAGTCTTCTTTTGTGAGTATCTTTACAAATTATGATAAAAATACTCTGAATGCTGCTGCTGAGTGCCAACTGATGGAAAGGCAGGCTTGTAAAAATATTATGGTGTGTCCTCACATCCTGTATTCCTGGGATCTGGCACTGTGCAACTTCTGGCTCTTCCTTAAAGTCAAAATGACCATGAAAGGTAAATGTTTTGAATTAATTCAGCATATCGAGGCAGCCATGACAGCACAAGTAAAGACACTCATGAAAGAGGATTTCTAGAAATAGTTCAGAAAATGGCAAGAATGATGGGATAAACGTGTTGGAAGCAAGGGTAGCATGTTGAGAGGGAATTCATGGCCAGTGTGAGCCTGAAGAGGAAACCTCTGCAAAGGAAGAGAGGCGGGAGATCTGTGGAGCTGAGTAGAGGATAAGATGCCTAGGGGAGGAGCAAGGGGAAAAAGTGAAGGAAGAGGGCCTGACACTGATAGTGTTATAACACCTGGGGATTCTTCTACATGTTGCTTCTGCACAAGTCAGGTCTGTGTTACAGTAAGAGTTACCGTCCTTGAGGGAGCAGGGTGGGCTTACCTGCCTGGAAGGAGCCAGGGGACAGGTGTATGGTGAGGGAGAGCCTTACTGGACCCTCATAGTAGAAAGTGACAACATGGCCACCAAGACCACACTCAACACTTCTTTTTCAAATATTTTATTAATCTGTTTGGCCAAACAGGTAATGGAAACTGAGAATAATAATTTGCTAAAAAGTTCAGGTCAGGAATGCCCCTTTCCCCCAGGAAACTAAAGACTCCATGGTTACAGAATGCACCATTGGTTATGACAACATTTCAAAATAATGTTTCCATTTCATATGTAACAATGTAAACTTCAAAAATAGTAAACTCTAACCCCAAGTCCCTCTTTACAGATCTATCACAGATAGAATTTTCTGGCTGACCTAAATTGTATAAGGAAACAGCCTGGTGCTTAAAAGTTTCATAAAAAGGTTTACAGATTCAGTAAATAATTTTTCAGTCTTGGTCTTGAAGTAAAAGCCACCAGCAACTCCATTCCAGAATATCTACCGTCTATGCATATTGTACACCTTCCACCACGTCCCCAATACACTGGTCACCAGATTTGTTATTTTTATACACACACACACATATAGTTTTGTTTCTAAAGATTTCTACATCTAAATTGTAAGACGGCGCCAGTGACTTAGAATGTCACCTCGCTTCACATAGGTAAAGACGAAAATTCTGTAGAAGGCACTATAAATTCTCCTGCATGATCTTGTAAAGACACAAGAACACAAGGCCAGCTGGGGTTGGACTTCCTTCCCTCCCTGTGACTCATGCAGGCCATTCTTCGATGGTTGTCATGTCCATTATCCTTTCCTGTTTCATCTCTTTTCGCCTATCCATCCACCTACCCATCCACCCACCCACCCATCCATCCATCCATCCAGATTAACTGACAGTTATCTTTTGGTTCATTGAAATTCCTTAAAATTAAAAGTACAGCTCTGATATAAAACAAAATATGACCTACTATAGCTGAAAAATAATCACAGTGTACAATGTCATTTTGAGTTGCTAAGATTCAAAACACACCTATCTTCCAAAGCAGTCGATGCAAGGCTCATTTTAACCTACTTTACATTCATTGAAAAAGCACTGAGAGGTTCTTTTCTCTACCATATTGAATTGGTTCCCTTAAGTGGAAGGTCTGATGTGGAAAAGTGCAAGCAAGTTGGACATGCCAATAAATACCGTAGAACTTACCGCAGATTACCAAAACTATACAGGTATGTACACCTTGCCCGACTGAGTCTCCTCCCAACAGAAAAGACCAAATCATTACTGCTGGAGTGTCTCCAGAGTCCCAGAGGAGCAGCCCTAGCGTGCAAAGGAAGGGCGGGCTCTCCTGCTCCTGTGCTGGGGTCCCGAGCCCAGGTCTGCTCCCCCCTCCGCTGTTTCCTCCTTCTTCCTCACTTTGAGGCGGGTGAGCAGCTTGATCAACCAGACGTCCCACTCCTCTGGCAGCAGCAGGAGGAGGAAGCCCAGGCCGATGATGATGATGGCGATGACCCGAACCCCGTTGAAGACTATCTGACTGGTGTAGTGATCCACCACTGTGGGAGGCAGAGCTCTGGTTACTCAGCAGCCAGGCTGAGGGCACAGGAGCAGAAGATGCTGGAACCCCCAGCTACAGGATCCTCCCTGAGCTACAGAATCCTCCCGGGCACCACTTGTTCCAGAAGGACAAGGTCACCTCTAGTGAATCACCTTAGACTTCCTAAAGCTTTTCTGATAGGAGGCATTTCACTTGTATTTCACCTCCCCAAACTGACCTGGCTTCTGAGTTTAAACATTGCTATGTAGGTAAAAGAAAAATAAATAAGGAGAACCTGGGGATATGCCTAGGTTTGGAAGACCAAACCTGAACCAGTTCTTTTAAGATAATAAATATGAGCTCCTGCTCCTCTCTGAGCATTAATCGGCATGAGGCTCTAGTGCCCTTGGGGTCTTTGCCTTCAGTGAGGGCTTCTTAAAGGCCTACGGGCTCATGGCCCATCCCATTCCACATTAAGTGGAATTGAGAAGCTGATTCACTTCAGTTTGTAAAGATCCAGATCACCATTCTCCTGACAATCCAACTGGCACTTAAAAGCACCTCCTTTCCCGTGGTGGGCTTCTCTCTCTGTTTTTTGTACTAATCCAGCATATTTGGAGACTGCTCTCCACACGTGTTATGCTCTCCTGGGAGAGAGAACTATAGACTTTACAGCATGTAGCTTTTGAATGGCAACTTACTGGACAGTGGATTGGGGCTGAGCATTTGCTGAGTCAGGCTTGTCTCTGTCCTGCCCTCTCCTTTTCCTCCTCTCTCCCCTCCCTCTCTCTCCCTGACTTCCACCTCCTCTAGCAAATGAGCAGAAAAAGGCTGAGGGGGTAAATGTTAAACCTGGAAAAATGTTGGCAAGAGCCCTTTGTGGAATTAAGGCATCTCTTTATCCCACCGTCATTCAGAATTATTTTAATCTGCAATACATTCTGCTCATCACCAAGTGGGAAGAGTCACCACCTGTCAGTACCATGGGCAGATATCGGGTAAGTCCTAAAGGTGGCCGACGTCCCCGGTCTGACAAGCTTGGTAAGACGCAGGTTCCTTTGCTTGTCTCCTCCGGTCAGGAGATGGATTCCTGCCTGTGATACCTTATTAAATGACTTATGATGCCGGTAAGTATGGTAGTAAGAAGTGATTCTGATTGATTTCACAAGCACCTGGCTACAGGTTACAGTCAAAGTAACTTTCTAGGTGAGACCTACCTGGACTATACCTTTCTGTGCTAAGAACCTCTGTGTGTAACTGTGAGTTAAAGATTCAAAGAATGCAGGGGAGGATGTTGATAAGGCACTTTTCAGAAGCCCTCAGGGTATGGACCACCTTTCTGTCAGCTGTGCAGGAGCTCAGGTACCTTTGGCACTACTGTGTTCTGGTATTATCTGAAGTACTCTGGGCAGGCAAGGTCCTCAGTGGTCCACCGAGGAGCTAGGTGAAGACGTTGGGGGCTGATGAGTGGGGGAGGCATGGACCTGGAGGGGTGCTGAGTGCAGTATCCTGAAGCCCCTCCAGGCC